AGTTCGCATGTAATTAATCGCATAGGAATTGCTTGTGCGGTAAAAATTAATAAATCGAAAATCGTGTTCCAATCAATTTTTTATGTAGAAATTTCTGACTAGTTCTCCACTCAGAAAAAAAATCTAAAAGTGCTTTCGCACATGCTACAATGCAGTGCACCCGCAATAACAAAAACGGTATTTCTTTCTTTGAGAGTTATCATTTGCTTAATCGTACAAATCACTACTGAAGTGTTAAATAAAAATTTCATATTGTGCAGCAATTACTACAGTTGTACTATACAAGTCAGAATTTATGTAAACAAAAAAATAAACACTTGTCTGTATCGAAACTGCAATTTTATAGTGTAATAATCATAAAAACAATGATATGAAATCAATAATGAACAAAAGCTACTTTTATAATGACAGTACAAAGAAAGTGATCAAAGTGCATGCTGTGACATTGAAAACGTCGAACCAATTTGATTTGATAATGATATGATAAGCAAAGTAAATGAGATTTCGGCCGTAGTTGATGCTGCATCATAAATAGTGTTGAAAAACGTGATGCTGACAAAACTCCCAGTGGACCATCTGCCAAGTTGTTGGAAGACATCTCCGTAGCGACGTCAACATCCTTAATTGGAGTTTCATCTTCAGCCATTCAGGTGAAAATGTCGGCTGCCGACGAAACCACAGATTGAACACGCTTTGCATTTTTAATCTAATAATTTTACGTTAAAACCAAGTCGAATCTTTTGTGAAGGAATTTAATTCAAAATTGACTACATCCCAATCAATTAAGAAAGAGACGGTTGGAAAGCTGAAAAATACATAGAATGAGTGAAGCTTTCGGAACCCACAACAGCGTTCGTTTTTCAGCATAAATCAATAATGTGCAAAAAACATATCGTAGCCATTTAAAACGTTCTTTTCGCCCAGAACTGCATGAAGCTCGTACGAGATTATACCACATAAAAGGTTCATAATACATAGAATCAGTGACATTTAGATCAAACTCGATGAAGTAAAGTCAGGCTGAGTCTGTCTCAGTTCAGCAATGAAAACCGAAACCTCAGACATACTATAGAAGAGTCATTAGATGTCGTCCTCTTTGGGGTTTCTGCCATTTTCGAAACTTTATTTCCGCTCTTGAATGAACATTCTTCGTTCTGTCTTCATGTAAAAACATCTTCCTATAAAAAACGATACTTGGCATATGCTTCTATGCGCGCTGGGGTTTGGCCAGAAAGTCAAATGGTTTAGGTTTTATACTGTAATTTGTCCGCATTCATTATTTGGCGAAGTCAAGCCGTCACCTAACTTCTGGTAGCCTAGATGACAGCTCAAGCAGGCCACAGATTCATGCACTGCATGGGCACAAGGCAGCACGACTTTTGTAAGCTAAGAAAAGCTTGTTCGAACACTGACGGACAAGTCACGAGACGTCTTGCGACTACACCGTGCAAATCCAGAGAAGTGACACGAGATTGTCATCTTTTTCCGATGGTATCGAGAATTTGCGTTTTGCTAACACACGTATAATAACAGAATTATTTTTCTTTGTTATTGTTATTACTATTTTTATTATTATTGCTATCGTATTACGATAAAATGGTTCCCATTGAGTTGAAATTTCTGACATATCATTCGTTTAAGCCCTTGAAAGCATAACCAAAATTTTTGCTGTTTCCTGCTTTGAGCTCAGTGTTGTTTCTTTCATGTTACGATGCTAGAATAGGCCATCGTTTTCAATATCATTTTTATGTTCATAAATATAATCATTGCCATTTCCATTTTCACAGGTTATGTATACTTTATGTCGGTTGTGTAAAGCGTTTCTGTCTTTGAACCTAGGACCGGTACAACAGAGTCGAAGAGACCGATCGGATAAAAGCGCGAACGATGACTGTGTAAAACTTTGCAAGTTGCAACTGAAGAATTCTTTGCAATGGTTGGCTGTTACCGTCGAAAAAACACCGCCAAAGAACAGTGCGACACAAGAACTAGGCCTTGAATCGGCAGTCGGCGTTTTCAAAGAATTCTGCAGGTTATGTTCACATATAATATTGATAGACCACATTCACTAAACCGTTTCACATCTCTTCAGCAGCTTCCAGGAAATGAGCAAATGCTTCAGCAAATGCCAGCAACTGCCTAAAGATACAATGGAAATTCTGGACGTCTTCTATTACATGTGCGTCGACAAATATGAAGGTGAGCGTCTTTCTAATGGTAGATCACGGGATTGTGGTGATTATATGAAGCATAATTTGGTCACCAGATTCGTCAAGAATAACAAAAGAAAAGAAAGTATATAAGCGTTGGAATGAGGGTCATACTCACACTTTCAAGCTGTGGCGAGTTCCGGCGCAGTTCTCTTCACAGACTTATTTCTCGGGCGCTGAACATTATTTTTGTCACCAGCAGGACGGCCCTATTATTAAAAGCATAGTGGACAGCAGCCATATGACAAGCATCGTGTGTAATCTCTTATTTCTTTTCACCTTGGCGATACTTATTTATGAACTTCTGAATGAAAAACAGAGAGCGACCATAGTCGATTTTACTTGAGCTTAACAATCTACTGACTGAGCAAAACGAGTCTATATGTAAAATGGAGAAAACAGAAAATTCTTAGAATGCAACATGATAACCGTCGTTGACATTGAGTTTAAATTATGTTAGCATAGAGTGATCTGAGGTAGACATAGCTGAGGCTGATGTTAGAAAAGTGCACATCTCTGCGACGTATAAACCACGTAAGCTGTGTTCGGGGAAAAATTCAATGACCCTGCCTCCTTCACAAAAATTTACCTTAGAATCCAAGTGGCATTCAGCGAACAATAATTGAATCTAGGCTTATCATAATTTAGCGAAATGCATTGAGATACTTTCATTAGCTATACTTTATTT